CTCTCTCTCTCTCTCTCTCTCTCTCTCTCTCTCTCTCTCTCTCTCTCTCTCTCTCTCTCTCTCTCTCTCTTCTGTTTATTTAGATTCAGACTTTTCTTTGCGGTCCTTTCACCAAAGTACCAAAAGATACATTTCTCAAAAAAACCACAGGTCCGAACACGTTTTAATGTAACGGCGGTTAAGCCGATGTTAACACGTTTTGATGTTAACACGTTTTAATGTAACAGCGGTTAAGTCGAATGGAAAACTGTCACACAACATAAACAACGAGATATATATGTTATGTAGCCATATTAATGAAAAGGTGTCTATCTCTAGCCATATAACTGGGGAGCGAAGCCTTTTTATTAATATATCTGAAACTATAGGAAATACGGAAGTGGCTATGAAGCATATACATCTCGCTGTTTATCATCGATGTGACAGTTTTCCTAACCTTAAAAGTGGTCAACTTTGTCGGCTAATATTTTGCTTCGCAATAAAGAGTAACGATTTTGTTAGATAAAAAAGTTGTTTCTCGTGCAAAAACATGTCGATTGAGCCTACTTTAATCGAAATCGGAGGTGAGGAGCCTAAACTGAATAATTACCGATAATATAATAGCATAAATTTGTTCTTTTCAGCTGAACTTTTTGCACTAGTTCAAGAAGTGTACACTGGTGTGTTCTTTCTAGCAGAAATGACGTCAGAGTTTACTGTTCTTTCCAATGGTGCAGCAGAACTTATAGCGTTTTTTATTGGCAGAACTGATGCGCACTGAGTGCACACTAAGGCTTGTTTACAATACATTTTCATATTTAAGATCGTGTCTTAAATACATATTTAAAAATATTTTAGGTAATAAAATGATTCATATGGATGTTATACATATTATATTACTGGATAAAAATATTTGAGAATTTATTTAAGATAATCTTTGAAAATAATAACATACTGTGAACAAGCCTTAATGCACACTCAGTGCGCACCAATTCTGCCAATGAAAAACGCTATTAGTGCAACAGTTCACTGAACTGCTTGCACTGAGTTTGGAGCTAGTGCAAGCAATGCAGTGCAATGCAAGGGTAAAAGTTACTATTCCAGTGCAAATAGTTCAGGTGAAAAGAACAGATCTATGAAGATGGGAGAAATAAGTATTGTAGAAATTAAAAGGAATGAAGGTGGCAATCTCCCAGGTAGGGTCTGCGGGCAACTGAGATACATACATTAACGCAAATAAGTAAATTCTTTATCTGAAAAATTATTTGCATCTAAAATTAAATGTTGCGCCATGTTGTTTCCTGCACTATGACAACCGGCGTTCATGCGTTCTTTTCCATCCTATCTGGCATATCTAAACTCGAGATACCGATTCTTAATTGATTCGATTCTTTCCCTAACAAATTTAGGGAAAAAGGTTGTTCGTGCTGCTTGCATGTTTCATACTTTTTGCTTTTAAAAAGAAATGGACGCCTAGTCAGACGCTTGGAAGAAACAATCGAGTTGGTTGTCTCGTTTTTGCTTCATCGAAACATTCCATACTTCTGTCTAGTTTTAAATACGAAAAATGCGAAGAGTGCAAACAATACGAATAAAGCCAGCGACAGACGGTGCTTGTTTTCATGTTGGATTGCTTACTGATTGGTGCATTTCTGAAGATGGATAGAAATATACCAATCAAAACAGAGTATTCCCATCCAGTAAGCAATTCAGCACAAAAACAAGCACCGTATGCCGCTGGCTTAAGCCTATTTTTGGGGAAAGAATTGAATCGATTCAGAATCGGCCATCTCTAATCTGAACTTATGAACTTTTGTTGTACTCGCCAGTTCCAGTTCCAACTCAGTGTAGTTCCAGTGCAGCACTAGTTCAGTTGAAAAGAACAAACCTCATGTTCGACTAGCTCTGAGGTAACCCACTCTGGGGTGCGTTCGAAAACATCACCCGTGTGTATTTTGTCACACTCAGATCGTTCGAAAACCCCTAGTGGGCACACTGACCATGCGACCATGACCGTTCAAAATCCGTACTCCGTGGACCACTCGTGTGACTTTTCTCCACTCTCTTTTACGCGGTGTGAATCGGTGGAGATGGTGGAGAGTGCGCAGAGAGTGCAATACAGTATGAAATTACTAAATTATTTATGGTTTTTTGTTCTTCGAAACATTCGTACAACCATTAGCCATCACGGTAAGATAAAAAATTTAAATACAGCAGTGTAGGTTAGCCAAGTTTAGGTTTATTTCTATAGTGATGTATATTGTCAGAATATTGTCTTTAAATATAAATAAAGCTTATTAAGCTTTTTGTATTTTATAGGTTCAAGAAATTTTCTTACGAGATACGAGGCACGTTAAAAGTCACGAATCAGTAACAATTTGTGAAAAAAAATGGAAAATTTGATCCCGGGTCGTCATATTTTATGCATGGATATTAAAAAAAATATACAAAAGGATGACAAGGGAAATGTCTATATATACGATGTTAAAGGTAAGGA